GTTTCCAAATGGTCAGTCTGCCCCTGTTAGGGGGATTTCAACTTGGTTAGGGTAAGAGGTGTGTGGGATGCCCAATGGAACTGAGAAACCAAGGACAACTTCCTGAACTATGTACAAGTGGTCACAGCAAAGTCTCTTCTGGAAAGCTAGCCAGCATCTACTGTAGTACCACCCCAGATACTCCTTATCCAGCTGTTCTGGGTGAATCCCTGAGCAGGGGATCCAGTGTGTGCCACAAATTTAATCAGGGCCATCTTTAATGTTAGTTTGGCCCCTGGGCAAACATTTTCTTGGGGTGGGCATGCAATTTTGCTCTCCACCTGCTCTGAGACATACAAAAAATAGCAAGTAGACTCAAAATCAGTTTATTTAACAGATCAGACAGCAGTTGAAATTGGTTTTCGGAGGTTGCAGCATTTTATTACAGCTCACTGACTGGTTGGTAGAGGTTACAGAACATATTACAGCTCCCTAATTAGTTACTATAGCACATGATTTCTGCTTGCTGATTGGTTGCTAGAGGTTACTGCATATTATTACCGCTCACTGATTGGTTGATAGAGGTTACTGAACATAATTACTGCTCACCCATTGGTTGCTGCACATCATTATTGCTCACTGATTGGTTGATAGAGATTACAGCAGATCACTACTGTTCACTGGTTGCTAGAGGTTACTGCACATTATTACTGCTCACTGATTGGTTGCTATTGGTTATTGTGCATCATTACCACTTATTGATTTCTAGAGGTTGCAGCACATCATTAGAGCTCGCTGATTGGTTGCTGAAGGTTACAGCACATCATCTCTTCACTGCCTGAACACCATGGACTGGGAAGGTGAGGGGACCAACTAATAGACAGAAAACCCCTCGGGATTCTAGGACTCCTGGAATCAGTGGTAGTGCTAGGGAGAGGGTGTGATCAGTGGCAATGCTTGGGGTGGGTGGGATCAGTGGCAGTGCTAGATGGGGGTGGGAGATGACATTTCTACATCAACCACCAATGTAAGGGGGATTTACACTGACCACCAATGTAATGGGGAGTTTGAACTGACAACCAATGTAATGGAAGATTTTACTCCAACAACCCATACATTTCTACACTGGCCACCAATGTAAGGGGGAATTTACAAGGACCACCAATTAAAGGGTGTCTTCTACATGGACCACCAATGTAAAGGAGGATTCGACACTGACTACAAATGCAAGTGAGGATTTTTTACTGATCACAAATATAAAGAGGAGTTTCTACAGTGGCCACCAACATAAAGGGGATTTACACTTACCACTAATGTAATAGGAGCATTCATAGTGACCACCAATGTGAGGAGAGTCTTACACTGACCACCAATGTAAGGGGCGCATTCACACTGACCACTAGTGTGAATGAAAGGATTCTACACCAAGCCCCAATGTAATGAGAAGATATATACTGACCACCAGTGTTTATTGAGACATTTAACCTATGTTCACATTTCTACGTGTTGGAAACACGTGCAAAATCGCCTTCCTAACACCAAAGAAATGTGCTGCCTTTTAGCAGATACACAGCAGTGCCATTAATTGTTAATGACACCCTCGTGCATATGCTGATCCATGCATTTTCACATGCACCAAAATTCAAGGTGCTGTGGCTCTGTGTGATTTTGAAAACAGGTCAGGGACTTTATTTCTGTATTTCTAGCGCACAGAGCAACCCATTGAAATGAATGGACTGTCCTACATGTAAAGTACACCTTTAGCCAGAGGTGATGGTGGCTAGAACCTCAAGGAGGCATAATATACATACGAATGCCCCTTCTATTTACATATCTATGTCACCAGCCTGTCTCTATTTACATATTAATGTTGGCTATTTACATGTGAATGCTGATACAGTCTGCATGTGAGTCATAGCAATAGGGCACAGCTGGGCAGCATAAGGGATAGTACTTCACACTGAGATCACTGGACACAGCATGGGACAAGGCAATGTAACCTTGGATAGTTGGCAAATATGGGGCAGCTGCTTTGGGCCCCACAACAATGATTGGGCCCAGGGCAGCAGCCCCTTTTGCCCCTCCTTAAAGACGGCCCTGAATTTAGTGAAACAGTCCTATGTGGCAGGCTAATCCAGCTTCCCGCTAGAGTGCCTCCTTTCCCCTATCTGGCCCAGGGGGTGCAGGTCTACTCACTCAGTCCTTCTACTATGAGGCTGGTGGGTTGGTAGTCACTCCTTCCCTACTACACAGGTGGTCCTCGCTCTGTGAGCTGGTTAAGGTCTGAACTTGTCTCCTTCCAAGCTCCACTGCCTGTAGCTGAGCCCCTCTCCACCTGGACCCCCCCTTCCAGGCTCCTCTCTCCAGCCTCACTCCATCTTCAACTTCCACCCGAGTTCTTCTGCTGCTGAACAGGCTCCCTTACTCTTAAAGGTTGTCCTGGCTCTTTACCAAGCCACCTGTTGGGGATTGGCCAGGATCCTCTAAAAATACAGACCAGCCACTCTCCATATCCACCCACTGCTTCTAGACCTCTCTCCAAAGTTTTAGAGCGGGGGGAAATGCCAGAAGGCTGGTCTGCAGAGCCTATCAACTCTGACCACAATTTGACCCCTGCTAACTGTCACACCGAGGCTATTGTACAGCGCTGAGCAAACCCTTTGGCGCTATATAAACTCGTAGTAATAATAATAATAATACTACTCAGAACTCCCTGCTAACAATTGGAGTCTAGACCCCCCTAGCTGACTAGGAGGGTGGTACATAAAGGCTCAAGGTTTTTTACCTCTATGCATGACAGCATAAAACCTTCTGTGTGCAGCAGCCCACCCCCCAGTACTTACCTGAGCCCCACTGTGCACGGGAGCCTCGACTCCTCAGTTGGCTGTGACAGTAGTGGGAACCATTGGCTGCTGCTGTCAATCACAGTCAGTGAGCTAATGGGGGGGGGGGGGCAAGCTGTGCCTTTGTGTTTGAATGGATAAGCAGATAACCCTTTCTTCCTTCCTGGCCTGGACCAGCCACATGCGTTCTCTTGGTGGGTCACCAATGGATTTGTTCACATTCAACATTTTCTAACCTCCAGGTCCTTTCCTACATAGGCCTCTCTCCAGGAGACCCATGACTTTCCTCATTCAGGGTTCAAGTTTGCCTTATTACACTGCCCTATACCAGGTTTGTATGCTCCTCAGCAGAGGCTCGCCTCCTACCATTTTTTTTTTTTTTGTCAGCCACCAGAACAATAACCCAAGCCTGAAAAAAATCTGTCCCCTTCCAGGGGGTGAGAGATCATAGGGGGCAGCACAGTGGCTAAATGGTTAGCACTTCCACCTGGCAGTACTAGGGTCTGCCTGGAGTTTGCATGTTCTCCCTGTGTCTGTGTGGGTTTCCTCCCACACTCCAAAGATATGCTGGTAGGTTAACTGGATCCTGTCTAAATTGGCCCTAATGTGTATGTATGAATATAAGTTAGGGACCTTAGATTGTACACCCCTTGAGGGTTAGGTGTGTGTGTGTGTGTGTGTGTGTGTGTGTGTGTGTGTGTGTGTAAAGCGCTGCGTAAATTGCCGGTGCTATACAAGTACCCGAAATAAATGACTATCTTGATGCTTAGTGGGCAAATGTCGTCTAGTGTCCGCAATGACTCTCAAGCTAAGTTTCTCAAAGTCTGGGTGCTGTGGCTGACTTATGCCTTTCCCACTTTTCCCCATGTCAGTTTAGGCCTACTCTGACAAGTCCTTCCCCTTTCCCCCCCCTGATTTCTGGCCCTTGGGCCAATTCTTTCTCTTCCCCGCTCCTTCTTTTACGCCCTGCTTACTGGTGTGTGACCTTTTTTCTATGTCACATCACCCTCTAGCCTAATCCTTTTATATTTATGTTCAACTGCCCTACTCTCTTGTGTCTCCATGAGCTGTGGATGGTGAAGTTGCTTGGGTAAAGACGGACCAAGAGGACATCATGCTGCCATGGGGAAGGCCCTTTCGGCTCGCTACCCTTTGAACTCAACAATAAGTGTTGAATTACTGCTGCCATGTCAGTCCAGTCAGACTGCCTCGTAATGTCTTTGTTTTACTGTCTTAGCTTATCTGTAAGCTTATTCCCAATACAAATTTCATTGCTAGCCCCTGTGTGGGCGGACCTACTGCTTGTTTTATTACTTGTTAAAACCAAATAAAATTATTGAAATAGAATGGACAAGCAGAGTAACTGCTCAGGAGCGAGCCTGTTTAGGTGCCCCCATAGCAAGCTGCTTGCTCTGGGGGCACTAGGCAGGAGGGAAGGCCCAAGACCTGAGAAGAGGATTGGGGCTGCTCTGTGCAAAACCACTGCAGTGAGCAGGTAAGTATAGAGTGTGTGTGTTCCTTTTTTTTTTTTTTTTTTTTTTTTTTTTTTTTTTTTTGCCTTTTTAATATCCCTGTAATTGAACAAGCTGACGTTAGAAGCTGATTGGCTACCATGCACAGTTGCACCATATTCTGAGTGCTCCAGTTACTACAGGTCTTGCCTAGCTCAAATACAACACTCCACAGGACCAGCTCTTTATCCAAGAAGCATACTTGGAATTCCAATTAAATATTAGAGGACATAAGGTATGATGGCATATCATAAAATAGTTTTATTTTTAGAAGGAAATTAAAAACAATGCAATGCACTCACATGAACACAGTATCTGTTGAGATGCTCAAGAATTAACCACATATACAGTAACTTTAACCTGTGCCTGGCTCCATCCACACACTCTGGCTGCAAGTGGGCATGACGTCATTCCACACTGCAGTGCATGCTCTCAGCCAGAGTGCGTAATAATATATAATAATTTTAGGCTACATATTTACACAATTGGTAGTACTGTCCTGCTTTTACCAGTGATTATTGTTAAAAAGAAGAAAAAAATTAGGTAGTGGTAATCATGAACCATTTGGATTGATGCTTCATGAAAAGCAAGAAAACTTTATGAAAAATGACCCAATTCTCTTTTTTTCCCCCATTCTGATAAATTAACCCATTTGTCCCATTCACAGAGCAAGCTGTACATGGACGGTTTCCGCAGCCTTAAGGAGGGGGAGTCTGTGGAATTCACATTCAAGAAATCATCAAAAGGCTTGGAGTCCACCCGAGTAACAGGGCCAGGGGGTACCCCATGCATTGGAAGTGAGAGGCGACCAAAAGTAAAAGGGCAGCAGAAAAGGAAGCCTAAAGGAGATAGGTAAGGATACAGACGACAATAATAAACAAAATACAAATTGGACCAGAAACATCCAATTTAGTGTAGTGTCTAATTTCCATCTTTCATCAACTGGGACAAGGTGGCTTATGATGGACGTGCAAGGAGATTGATATCAAAGCAAGAATGGTCATACCAACAGTACCCACTCTGACTTTTCTGCTGCTGCATTTTATGTGTTATGTGCTTGAGTGTAACTTTTTTATTTTATTTTTTTTTCATCCCATAGGAGACACAAAGTCCCCTATGTGATGATTTTTTGGTAACAGGTCCTCTTTGAGACATGTAGGGTTTAAAGGGCCCTGCATGACTCCTCTGTGATCCATTTAGATGTATTGCAATGCAAACCGCATTGCAATACAGGTTTCCCTGGCTATTCTAGCCGGGAAAGTGACAGCTCTGACCTGGAAGTGACATGGCCATTGCCTTCCAGGTCACACAAAGGGGAGGGGAGCTTGTTCGGTCTTCTCTCTCCCCTCCACCCACCAGCACTGACTGAAAGAGACAAAAGGATATTGCGCAGGATTGTGACCCAGAATAAGAAAACAACTGCTGCAAAAGTGACTGCAAAGCTCAATATCCATCTTCATGGGACTGAGATTGAGCTCTGCAGTCACTTTGCGTAGGATTGTGACCCACAACTGCTGCAAATGTCCTTTTTGTCTCTTTTCGTCAGATCATAATGTTGAATGCGCTTATCGGACGACTTTTCCCCAAAAACTGTTTATTTGCCATGTCACGAGGTACAGTATCAAAGATTATGATGGCATAAATTGGCAATTTCAGTGGCACCAGCTAAGCAGTCGCCAACAATTTGCCTTCTTTGAAGCTCAGTAAGCTCTGAAACGACTCCGTATTAGTAACAGTGCACAGTGAATGACAGAAGCGAGCGCCCACCTGTCTCCCGCCCCCATTTCTGACCTGCCAGGCTGCATGCTCCGATAAGCGTCTGGCATGAGATTTGGGGGGAACCCCATGCCATTTAAAAAAAAATAAAAAAATGTTGGGGGGGGGGTTCTTAAAATCCATACTAGACCTGAAGGGCTTGGTATGGATGGAAGAGAGGAACCCCATGCGTGTGGTGTTTGTTGTTTGGTTTTTTTTTTTTTTCCTGTTTTTTTTAATTGCCAGGCAATGCTGGCACTTTTTTTACATTCAGCTGTCAGCAGGAAATCCCGCTGACAACTGAAACCTTGCAGAATGTTTTTCACTACTAAATACTGCATGACTTATGCAGTATTTTAGTAGCTGTTCAGTATCTTACCGCGTACTCAGTGAATGTTCGAAGATCGCGTTCGAACTTTTATTAGGTTCAAATGTTCTACCATGAGCCAAACTGGGGTGTTCGGCCCATCACTAGTTACATCACGTCTGCCTGTCTGCTTTCAATGCAAAACATGTGGTCACTTTCACACTTGCAAATCATGTGGTGTGTGTTTTTTCTTTTTTTTTTTTTTTTTTTTGGGTCTAACCCCAAAAAACAGGCAGGCTGACACAGGCAGCACTAGTTGAATGATCAAGTGGCAGCAGGAGTGGTGGTGGGGTAACAGATCCATAGACCATAGCAGCCAAAAAGGGGAGAGGCATCAAAAGGCTGAGGATGCCAAATCTTGCGGAAATGTTTTTGTTTTCCTGCACTGTGCCGACGCAAGTTCTCAAGAGATTTAGGATCCTTAGCTTTCTCAAAAGGTGTAAGGAGGTTAATTGTTGTCACCCTGAACCCTTGGAAATCAGTTGGAAGCTAATGTTCAAGGTAAGTAACTTTTACCATTTCATGTTCACTAATTCTTTTTCATTTTATTACACTTATAGAATGGGGAGTGTGGGGAAAGAAGTGAGCGGATAGTAACTAGTTAATTGACATGCAAGGTTCATTTTAGACCCACCAAGTTTTTCCTGCCGCTACTTTTCAGAAAATAGGCTTGCTACTACCTCAAACTGCTACATTTCAATTGTTGCTTAAAGGCTGACTCCACTTTAAAAAAAAAAAAAAAAAAAAAAAAAAAAAAATACAAATGTGTTTTAGTAATTTAGTATTAAATCGTGATTTGATTTTTACAGATTAGCTAGTTGAAGTGAACATTCACACAATTCTATGAGAGAAGATTCTTCTTCTTATTATTTATAATTTTTTGGGGGGTAAGTAAATCAGCCCAACTATATAGGTAATGTGTGTTATTTAATGATCAAACCTGCGTCCAGCCCCCGTTGCCATTGGTGGCAATTTGTATATTTTGAGGGTTCCCAATATACATCTGGGGGTTTATAATTTTTATATAATAAAAAAATAAATCTATATCATATTTTTTTTTTTTTTCCTGGGACAGTGTTTTGACCTTTTTACCTCTTATAACAATATTCTAGCGTAGTGGGCATCTCTAGTTTGTGTCCTTGTTTTGTTTGTGTGCCTATTGAGTATTATTGGTGTATACACTACTGCACCCACTGCTGTTTTACTTAAATTCAGTTTTAAAAATGTACAAACATTGTTTTATTTTGTTCTTGCAGATGTTATAACTGTGGAGGACTTGATCACCATGCCAAGGAATGTAATTTGCCACCACAGCCCAAGAAATGCCATTTCTGCCAAAGTACTAGCCACATGGTGGCACAGTGCCCAGAGAAGGCTGCACAGTCAGCCATCTCTCCAGGAAAACCTGCCAATGAGGAGTTGATCCCTACAGCTGCAGAATAGCTGACACATAGCACTAGATTCACACTATGAGATTTTTTTTTTTTTTTTCTGGTTTATTAAACATTCAAAGATGAAAACTTGCCCCCTCAAATATGGTGGTGCCCATACTTAGACCTTTCAGATTATTGATGAATTTCCTACTTGGGAAAAGCTATGTATGGGCATCACCATGGCTTGGCTAGCCAGTATTAGAGCTGATATTGTCAACTCTATGAAAGCAGGTTACAAGTTAACAGTACTTAAATTGGGGGCAAAATAATAGGGCTGCTTGATAGCCTGCCTCCTCCACTGGTGGTACTTTACAATCCCTGGTCTTCCACATCATCCCCTTAGCCTACTGGAGCCCTCTGAAATGCCCACAAATTTGGTATGGTGGAGCATGTGACTTCATCTTCCTCCGTTGAGACATACTGTGTAGGCAGATCAGCTAGTCACTAGAACAGATTGCTGTAAAATGAGGGTTGGGAAATGACCGGGCCAGACCTGGCCTGTCTGACCTTAGGGTGCAGTCAAGGGCCGGTTTTCTAAACTATAAAAAAAAAGATGCATAACAGACCACTAATGTAATTTGCCCAAGACCATGAACTAGGTAATGTTTGCCAAGTGAAGCACACAGACTGTGTTGCACAGACTTTGCTATGCTACATACCACACCATTTTTCTGTCTCTCCAGTTTCCCTATCCTTGGACCGTACTACAAAAACCCTTTCTCTGGGGGTTTGACAGAAATGCAGGTTTACATTGATAATTGGCAATAGGCCAGAGATGCGGGGAACCTACTAGGGATCCAACTGAAAGAGCTCTTGCAAAAGTGAACCTGTATTCCCTCGCTGTACCGAGAGGCTATGTTCACACTAGCCTACATGGTAAAACACATGGAGCTTTGTGATGCATGTCGCAGAGCATTGCACTGCTAGCTTGTTTTCAAATATCACATTATGAGACTTCATTCATGCCACTGCACCACAGCATATGTTTGAGTATAAACTCCAAACCAGACCAGCTCAGATCTTGTAAAGGGCTCTCTTTCGGGGCACCAGTAGGGAAAAGGGGCAGCACTGGAGCGCACAACAGGACATTATTAATGGTAGAGGAGATAGGCTATCAAGCAAACCTCTTACTAGGTTCTCTTTAGATACTTGAATCGACATCTGATTTTTGCATTGGCACAATGTGACTTATTTTGTTCACTGGGATAGGCTACCAAAATAGACCAGTTAAATCTCACAGTGTGAATACAGAGCTGGCACCAAGGCAAATGTTACAATGTTAATGCACAAGACTGAGAACAATGAACAATGAATGTATTGTTAGACTTCTTTTGTTAAAGTATAATTAAGGGCAAAACTTTTTTCTTTAGTTTTGAACAGAGTGGAGAGGGATTAGAACAGTGGTGGGGATTTTATTGCTGCCTGTGTACCCGTTGATAGAGATTCACCCTCTTTATTTGTCATGTTTTACTGTTCTCATTGAAAGTGAAAGAAAATACAAAATTTTGTATTAATAGAGGGGAAATCCTCCAATGGGGACACTCGTCCTGGTGAAAACCAGGCATTTATTTCCTCACTTTGGAGGGTTTTTCTGTCCTGCCTGGTTTGGCTATGGGACAGGAAGAGAAGTTAAATCTTCCCAATGGGACACAGATGGCAAAAAAACCTGATGGGTCATAACCATCCTTACTCGATCCAAAATTCCCCCCAAATTTGACTTTCATTCTACTTTAAGACTACATATACAGGAAACACTTAAGTCTATATATTTAAAATATATATTATAAAAAAAGTTGATCCTTCATTCTGTCTGCAAGATTGAACAAGCACATATGCTCAGTAAACCGTAAGACCCCTATGCATTCACTGATTACAGTGGTAAGGAAAAAGAATTCTGATTTGCTCTAGACTTTTCTGCACTGCTGTATGTTGTTGCTGGATTTACTATTTTTATAATCATTATTTTGCTATGCTAGGCCAACCAACAAAATTTTTCAGGAGAAAAATCTAATTGTGTACAGCCAGCATGACTCCACACCAAAGCTAAACTAATGTGCTTAAAGGAACATGGCAGAAGCCAATGAAGATTTATATTTTACTAATACTTTAAGTCATGTGCCAATTCAATAGGAAATATGTTGATTTCTTTAACTGACCCTCTTAAAGGGCACGTTTACATGTGCAGCTAACAGCAATCATCTCACAGTTACCAATTACAATTGGTCTTTACGTAATTAATTTGCCCTTTTTTCTCGCCATCTCTTTATACATTTATATCTTTTCTTCTCTAATGTCTGACGTTGTTTGTACTTTGTATCAAGTATTTTTTTGTATTTTGATCCCTTCTATGTTTTTTATATTTTATTGTAAATGAATTTTATATTGTTGATAACTTACGGCTGCTTTGAATACTACAGTCTTATTATTCTGTAATTAATGTGTAAAATGGCAACATGAACATTTTTTTTTCGTTTTGATTGAAAGCCTTGTGCATACCTAACTGGCAATTAGATTTTTAATGCGTACATTTTAATTTAGGTTGTGTGGGTGTTTTTTTTTGGTTTGTTTTTAACCAATAGTTCATTTTTCATTGATTGTGCACAACTTAGACATACGTGCCCTATAATATGAACCTAAACTTGAACTGCATTTTTTTTTATTACGAGAAAACAAGTAAAAATTGACTACCTTTTTTAGACTCCAGCTCACCTAGGCCTAGTGATTTCACTCAGCTTTTCCATAGGTCCATGGGAAACCTGAGGATCCCAAATCTCACAGTGCTGGAGCATAATCTACATATATGCAATCAAGGCAAATAAAGTGCCTTGTGTGTCTTGTGTCAGCAGCAATTGCCTTGGTATAGGCAAGTTTAAAGGTTTGATCATTTTGTATAAAACCATGTATGCGTACCTTAACAGCTTAACCACATGGCAGCTTTAGTGCAACCATTCACCTTAGATTAGTAATAAAAATGTGTGGCCAGGTAGTCTGCCAACACCTGCATTTGCATAAAAAACAGCCTAATGTGACACCGTGATTTAGTGACACCTAATTTTATTTTTTTTAAAACTAATAAACAAGGGAATTATGTTTTCACCTCCAATGTACTGGGTTGGGTACAGTACTAACAAATACTATCACTGAGATTTCTACTTAAAAGCACTAAACCATGTTAACTTAAATGCTTTTTTTTTTGTTTTGCTATTTCAGATTTGTGAAAATGGCCCAGTTTGACTTGCTATTAAAGGCTTATAATAAAACATTTTACAACTGCCTATTGTGGGCTACAATGGCACCAAGAATTGTTTGCACATTAATTACAGATTGCTGTAGAGAATAAGACTCTGTATTAGGCCCCGTTCACACTTGTGTATTTTTAGGTGCAGTGTGTTAAAAAAAAAAATGTCCTGCCTGCTACATTTTATGCGCTTTCAATAAAACGCATGTTATATAAAGTTCAATGGTAACACACCTAGACCAAAAAAAAATGCATCTTAAATGCACAGATGTGAACCAAGCCTAAGAATCTCTCCTTTCTTCTGTAGCCATTTCTGATGCAAAATCAAATTGTGGCACAGATCAACCAACCATAGGTTGCTGGGTAATATGAGTCTGATGTCTACAATATTGCACTTCCCCCTACAAGCTTCCCTTGCTTTGAGGTGACACTGTCAGGACGGCAGCTAAGGGGCTATTATTGGAGGACTATAGTTCAACCAATTAGAAACAATCTAAAGCTGGTCATACACCAAACGTTTTTGGAACATTTTGTTTGATTTTCTAAAAGCTAGTGGGGTCAACATGACAATTATTTTCAACTGTAGTGATTTAAAGAAAATTTGAAGGGGAAGGATGGAAAACAAAATTCGAAGGCCTCGTTCACACTGGCGTACTACAGCATACACCCTTGTGAGAGCTGTGTTTACCTGCATGGGAATGCACAGGTTTTCTGTTTAGGCGCTCTGCATTTGGGGATTGCACCCACCCCGGGGCGGACTGACCACTCATGGGGCCCCGGGTAATAGGGCATCATGGGGCCCCTGTGTCCTCGCCCACACTTAAACCACACCCAAAAAAGCCTATGAAAGGTACCAGGGGCATCTCCTGGGGCCCTTTACTGACCCCAGGCCCTCGGGCAGTGCTCGAGTTTCCGAATGGCCAGTCCGCCCCTGACCCACCCACACTCCCATGGCTGTCAAACTGGGAATGGCATCCCAATTGACATGAATGGATTAATTGGGCTGCCTCCCTGGGGATGCATGGAACACCTGTGCATCCCTGTAAAAAGAAAAAAAGTCCATCACAAGGATGTACGCTGTGGTACGCTTGTGTAAATGAATTGGAATATGTTGGTGTAAAATAAACCTGTTTAATACTTCTGGGATTCCAATCAAGATGCAGGTCTAGACTAAATTTTAAGAGCCTTCAAACAAAATGAGTTGACTCGATGCAAGATTGAATGCTCTAATGATTTTTGAAAATTCAGTACGAATGTTCAAACAAAATTTGTATTGGTATATAGCTAGCTTTATTCAGATGCTTAAAGAGGACAGTGCTTTGCATCCCGAGTTTTCAGCTCCTATCACAAGCAGACATATATATTTATATAGTGCATAGAATCGGATATATAAAGCATTATATAAATATATATGGATACAGTGTATTATATACACAATAAATCTGTACATAACTTTTTTTTTTTTTTTTTCTTTTTTTATCTATTTATCAGCCTGTTTTAACCTAAGTTGCCCTCCATACCTGGTATTACGTTACTACAGCATGGTTAGAACTTGCTGGGTATATGTCGTATCAAAAAACATATTTATTTGTTTTATATATGTATATTGCGTTGTACAAATATATAGTTTTACACAGAACTATATAGGTATTTTATGAGTACATATTACAATATATATTTATAGATATATATTTTTAGTATCGGTGATGGAGGGCACTGATATTTGGAATGACAATACAGGGGTAATTTGTACATATGTTATGTCCATCTTT